CTACCTTCTCTCCATGGCCTGTAGCCTGTAGGAATGTATGCGTGCTGCTGCCATCTAAGCATGTGTACATTGGCTGAATGATCTTGTACTCCTATACATCTAGGGTTTTGCGAGGCCGGCAGTTTAGCCCTAGCTAGCAAGCAAGCCAGTGCTACATGACTCCTCCTGCAACCCCCTTTAAAAGCAGCCTAGCTGCTTTACTTTACCTCGCCAGCCCACCACTCCTACTCCAACTTCAATCCTTCCATCATGATAAGAAGCTGCGATCGAGCAGATCTATCGTCCCTCCATCTGTCTTGCGTGTGGCTGGCAACGAGATCGCCGGCCTATATCCTTCTTGTAAGAGAGCCATGTCTTCACGATCGTATAAGAGAGAGCTTGATTTGTGACACGAGGTCAGGGAGCTGCGCGCATGGCGTGGATGGAGAGAGCGATATTGGGGAGGTTCAATCCGATGAACGGGATTTACGCCGTCCGTCGTAAACCTAACATATCTGATTGAGCCGCGCCAATATCACTTCCTTCAACCATATATCCACACACACACACGTGTGTACAGTGCTAGCTCTGGAATTCCGCACGCAAGGTGCGATCAATATCGTTTGTCCTTAATTCCTTCTTACTTATATCTCACTGCTCGTCGACCCCCGCTGTATTGTGTTTAATCCACAGCTACGGATAGACTGTTCTTCTGGACATGTTGTCGTAGGTAAAGTTATTTTCTCTTACTTATTGGCCCCTGCATGCAAAAATGATCCCATGTTTTCGTGTTTCCACTCATGGCGACGACCATGCATGATATATGATTATTTTTTCGACTCTGCAATTTGTATTATCTTAGATACTTGGATAGAAAAATAGGTCTTAATATGACACAAAGCGTTAAAATGGGACTTCATCCCTACTTGGGTTGAAGGTACAACCACTCAGTTAACTACTCCCTGCGGTCCTTTTTAGTTCGTATATAAGATTTGTCTGAAATCAAACCTCATAAACTTTGACCAAGTTTATAGAAAAAATTACCAACAGTCAGAATGTGAAATTAACAACATTAAATGCGTCATGACTTTAGTTTTCATATTGTATAAATTTAGCATTGTAGATGTTAATAATTCATATAAATATGGTTAAACTTTACGAAGTTTGACTTCAGACAATTCTTATATGCAGAGTAAAAAGGACCGGAGGGAGTACTTACTACCTAATTGTCGTGTGTTGCAACCGGGCAAACATATTTTAGCGAGTTAAAACCAATACAAGTGTGTCAACAGGGATGTTGCGAGTACTTTTTTTCATCTGACTCCCACATGGACGTCGTCCGATAGTATCTTGCGGCAGAACGTGAAGATGATGAAAAATGAACGAGAGATTTTAGGAGTATTTAGCTGCACTACGTATGCTATAGTCAAAATTACAAAAAATATAACTATCCATAATTAATGTGACCCTTCTTGTTTTTGCGGGTAATTAATGTGACCCTTCAGGCAAATGCTATACTTTTCATAAATTAGTGAATGTTGTTTTCTGTTTGAAGGGAATGAGTTGGACAAGAAATGAAAAGTGTCGATTTGGTTCAGATTATTTCAGGTCACTCTATATATGTTGGTTTTTCTTTTGTGCGGCATTAGTTGATATTACCAAAAAAATCTATCAAAAACCAAGCGGGGATAAGGGTGTGAGGAGGGAAAACACGAAGAAGGAGGTGAGGCGAACTACCAACTTCCCTTTAATAAAGTAGAGAAACAATCATGATGCATGCTAGAAAATAAAAATGTTGATGCAGTTCTTGTGATTATCCCGTTGTTGATGTCGTATTTGTGATGAGTTTATACTCCCTGTCCTTTTTACCCCGCATATTAGCTTTTGCTTGAAGTCAAACTTTGTAAAGTTTGATCGAGTCTGTAAAAGAAAATGTCAATGCTCTTTTTCATATTTTATTTATTTGGTACATTTTTTAATATAAAGTTGATCAAAGTTCACAAAGTTTAATTTAAGGCAAATCTAAAATGTGGACGGAAAAGGAACGGAGGGAGTATATATGAGATAAGTAAGCAGATTGTGTCATCAGGCTCGGGATGCTCCGGGGGAAACCCTAGATCTGGGTCTTCCGGATCGAACGATGATGACGTTCTATCGCTTTCCCTCCTGGGGGCATCGTTTTGGAGTAAGTGTTGACTGGGGGGATGGTGGAGCGGTGCTTCATCTCACACATCGATGGCGGCGGATATCGGCGGCATGGCGCTGAGGAGACTTGGCGTCCGATGCACGGAGATGGACTCGCGCAGGAGGAGGTTGCTGTCTGGCGTCATGGTGACGTCGATGGCAGAGTGGCCAGACAAGGTAGAAGCCTCAATATGATCTGAAGACGGACCTGTGGAAGATGGCGGCGACGACACACGAGTGCGTCTGACCGGATTGTGCCCCAGACCCGGTATGTGGCTCGGCTGGGGCTTCCGAATATGTTTCGGCTTCCGGCTTTTGATGTTAGGCTTAGGTGAGTGGTTTGGGTAGTGGCCCAGCTAGCACCCCTTCATCATTTTGGATAGGAGTAGCGACATGTGTTGCCAAGATGGTGGATTCAGACACATTGTTGTAATACTTTGTAAGGTCCTCGAGAATAATCAATAAAGTGGCCGTATGCATCTCCCAGATGCAGAGGCCGGGGGTCATCCTCCTTTTCTAAAAAAAAAGTAAGCAGATTGTGTGCATGAACGCACATGATTAATTACAGGGTGACTTTTATTGCTTTTTAACACTTCCTGATTTAGTTCTTGTTAATGTTTGAAGAAACGAGATGAAACAATTAGGATGTGATAATTA